AAATGCTTAGTTTTTTTTTAATATTTCTCTATGGTGCAATTGCTATTTTTCCTCCTTGCCCCCCCACCAGAAGATGTGAGGAAGTGAGCTGGCAGTTGGTCAAAAGTATTCAAGCTGCAATTTCCTATAGACTACGGGAGGGAGAGGATCAAACTCAATGTACCGTTTATGTTCTTGAACATTTTTTCTCTCCTTGCGTCCGCTGGTCATTTGTTGACCAAAGACAGCCGGACGTCTTGCTTAGTGCCTTTCCATTTTCCTCCTCTTTCTCTTCTCCCAGCCTTGTTTAGCCTCTAGTTTCTTTAGTTTTGCAGAAATAGATTGGGAGCCTTTCATGTAGCATTGGGTTGCACCATTCCACGATGTCTTACATTGAACGTGTATATGTCTGTGTGCCTGTGCACGCATACATTGGTAAAACTCTGCACTTCCAACTGGTGGAACACTGCTCAATGGACCGGGAATGTGTATCTTGGCTCCAGGCATGAAGGACGGTGGCAGTCCTCTTGCACATTTTAGGCTTAGTTGTGTTCTCACTGGGAAGCTTGCAGGGAATCCCTGATGCTTTCTAGCAAGGATGCAGCCCTGCGCTTATCGGATGTCTAATGACCAACTAGTGAGTATCCTAGGGAGGGGTGGGAAGTGAGGAGTTCTCATTCCTGAGCTGAGGCTGGGGGTTGGGTAGGATTCCAAGGTTCTCTTAATCGCTGAATGCTCAGATGTCTTTGTCTGCAAGACTGGAGGAGCAAACCGGGGGCGGGGATTTTCCCCCTCCCATTCAGCTGATGCTCCTGTTAGCCCTGAAAGCTAAAAATCTTAGCTAAAAAGACAAGCAGTGGGAAGCTGCAGTTTTAAACTCCAGCAGTACCCAATACGCACTGTGGTCCCTAAGCCTTGGCTATTGCCATCCTTTGCCTATAGTTTCTGGGAATGTGGCACGAAGCACGCTCCTACAAGGAGATGATGTGTACTCCGTTCCAGATCAGTGGACATTTCCTTGCGTGCATGGAACATTCAACATTCAACTTAGATAATCTTAAGTATGGTAATGAGTTTCTGTTTGTCGAGCCACGGAAAGGCAGATCACTCTATTCTCACCTTGTAGGAAATGATGGCTCAGTCCCACATGCATAGAACAATGCATTTTCGTCAGTAATTGAATTGAAAAATGATTATGTAACTTTGCAATAACTACTTCCTCTTGAGCTCAACCCCTGCAAAATGCAAACGCTAAAATTGTTTATGCAGAATACAAAGTCTCTCTTTCTGCCCAAACTTGTATCTATGTAGCAAATGCACCATTTCTACTAATCTGGTCCTTAATAATAATCCTTAGGTTTGGTATAGTGCCTTATCATGTTGAGACATCTCAAAGCGAAATGTGGCAGCCGATTGCACACAGCGAAGTCCCATCGACAGCAACAGAGCGAGCAATTTTATTTGGGAGATTATCGGCCAGGACACCAAGAGACAAAAAATGTCCTTCTCTTTTCGAATTGTTCTTTTCCTGCGTTTGCTTCAAATGCCACACACTTATGCAGTGCAGTCACTTTACAGTATATCTTGTGAAGCAATTTGAAACATCCTCTCAACTTGAACGGTGCTAAATCGGATGCAAGGATTATTATTTCCCAACCTGCCCTCCAGTACCTTGCCTGAGTAGCTATTCTGTGTTTGAATGCTCCAAGTCGAGTACTGGCCAAATTTGACTTTGAGAGCTGATATAGTATAAATTTACATTTATATAGTGGCTTTCACATCAGGAGGACATCTCAAGGTAGCCCAACATGTGTATCCTTCTTGCAGGTCTTTTCAAGGCAGGCAGGCATGTTGAGCTAGAATGTGTTGATCTGCAGCTTCATAAACCTTTGACAATATGGTTAGATAATGGCATCGTGGAGCCCTTTTATAGGATGAATATCAGTGGATATAATGCACCGTGGAACTGTGTGCAAACGGGGACAACTTGTCATGAGAAATTTACACAGAATTTTTTTTAGAGTCACTCTGGGTCCTGGTATTTGCGTCTTTGACTTTCATTGAAGTGTTTGAGAGCCGGACTGATCAGCCACTTCAGGCTGATTGTTGGCGGTTGTTTGTCGCACGAAGAGGCTACTTGTAGTTTAAATTTCAATGTATTTGTACATCTATTTTAAAACAGCGAGTTGATTTAGTGTCTGATTACAGGGCTTGCGCAAAATGAAAGCGTTGCAGTGTGTGGATCTTTATATATAATATTCACATTTGTATCGTACTTAAATATACACATTCGTAACTTTTTTAACCAAAAGCCGCATAGACTTGTTTCCTTTGACCCATGCGTGTGGTTCTGTCTTACTTCACCATCTGCGTGCTGCCTTTTTAACTTGATGATCATTCCTCTGAAGATGGAGAAATTAGAACAGGACTAAAATTGAGAAGCAAGGGAGGGAAGCTGGAACTAGACTATGAAATCGGATTTTTCTTTCCCGCTTAATAGTAAGCGGGTAAATGTCGCATCTCTAGAACACTTTTTTTTTAAACATTGAATGAGTGCAAACTGGTCTGCACAGTCTCTTTTGTGGCTTTGACTTGGGTGGCAGCCGGGCAGGGGCCAACACTTCCTGTTACCAAGAGAGGCTTCAGGTGGTCAATTGATGGAGTGGGTCTGGTAGTCTTCAGAGTTCTTGTTTTGTTTTGTTCCACGCTTGCTTTTTTTCAACACAGACCGTGTGGTCGGTGTCTGCTCTTTTCCAGCTATGTTGCGACAGTATGGCTGCAGTGTACAGAATTATATTCTTTGAGTAGTCCTGTAGCTCAGTGGTTAGAGCGCTCGCCTCGCAAGCGAGAGACCTGGGTTTGATTCCTGCAGGGCGAAATGTTGGGCAAGTTTCCTTACTCCACACGCCTCTGTTTACCCTGCAGTAAGTAGGAATTTGGCAGATCGCTTTTCTGGGGGTAATAATTCCTTCATAAAAAAACAATAATAAAGGCTGCAGATAATCCAGAACTCTGCAGCCCGTGTCCTCTCCCGCACTGGGCTCCGTGACCCTATCACCCCCATCCTCGCCCCACTCCATTGGATTCCCATCACATAGGGGATACAGTTCAAGATCCTGGTCCTCACCTTCAAAGCCTTCCATGGTCTTGCTCGCCCTTATCTCTGTGACCTCCTAAACCCCTACCACCCTACTTGCTCCCTCAGCTCAGCGGGCTCTGGCCTGCTTCACGTCCCCCCACTCACTCGCCCCACTATTGGCGGGTGGGCCTTCAGCCACTCTGCCCCCGCCCTCTGGAACTCCATCCTGCAGTCCCTCTGCCTTGCCCCTTCCCTTGCCTCCTTCCAAGACCCATCTCAAGACCCTCCTCTTCAACCGTGTTTTTGATCACCCACCTTTCCCCCCCCCCCCCCGCCCTCCACCCTTCCCGATCCCTGACTGTCCAACGTATGTCCTCCCGATGTGAAAGGCGCTATACAAATGTAATTTTGTTGTTATATGGTGTAATGCACAATGTAATATAATCTATCCGATTTTGATCCCTTAAATTGTATTCCAGCTTTCTTTGTACTAGACCTTGGGTTACCTGCTTCTTCACGCAGAACTATAAAAAGTCTAGGACAAAGGAAAGGTTAGCTGCAGCTTTAAAATTAATGAGCTGGTGTAATTTATCAAGACACTCGAAACTACTGTTGAGCTTGTCTCATCCATTGGAATAATTTCTGTATTTGCATATCTTCAGGTTTGTTGTACCTTTATGGTGTTTACTTCCAGATAATATGATATGCTTATTTCATTCTGCATTTTTTATGTCAATAAAACTCCGGGGGAGTTTTGATGACACAAACCGTATGAATTGATGCCCAAAACACCATATAAATTCGGCAGCATACAATAGCAGCTATTGGTGTTTTTGCTATGGCATCGATTTGCACTTTTCTATTTTAAATGCCGGTAGAATGAATCAATTCAGTATCCACACAAAAAAAATCCTTTACAAGTTCCAAAGGACTGCTTACAATGGGCTGAGGTTAAGTTCTGAGATAAGAATCATATCGAGTCGGTAGCTAATAGCTGTTTATTTCGCCTCATAGATCTGGGTTCAATTCCCGGGCAAAGAGAAACCTTGGGCAAGTTTCCTTAGTCCACATGCCTGATAATCCCTCAAGAAACCAAAACAATAATAATTTGGTCACTCAATTCACAACACTGCTGTGCACAATTGGCTGCCGCATTTCGCCCACAAAAAATATACGGTCAATTCACTTTACAATATATTCTGTGAAGCGCTTTGAGACGTTGTGAAGACGTGATAAGGCGCTGTATCAAATCAAGGATTATTAATGGCTGCAAGTCACAGCAACGTGAGGGGTGGCTGTGCTGAGGAGATGCTTGTGGATTTAAATCCCAATCCCAGTTTGAGGAGGCTTGCAAGAGATGGTCACTGATTCTTCCATCTAGTGCTGAGACAAGTGGCGTGACCTGACCTTGGGTGATTGATTAAAACAGGGGATGAAAATGTACTTGATACAATTGCAATAGTTATTGGAAAAACTAGGGAAGCTGGAAATCTAGAATCCAAATGAAAAATGCTGGGACTTGATGGCACAGCTAGACAGTGGAGCTTAGTTCACCTATCTTTAGGTGCTGATTGTTTCCTTTTTTAAAACTATTTGCAGCAACGTATTTGGACACGCAGGCTACCTGGTACTGCTGGCCTTATAAACCAATGTCTACAGTGGTGTAAGGCTCACCAGACTTGCTTACCCAATACATGATTAGCTAGCCTGATCATGGTCTGTTTGTAAATCCTATAATAAAAGGCTCGATTAAAGTGTTACTTTCTGATCGATGCAACTGAAGAGTTCTGCATTAAACTTTTCCCAGATTTTTAAGATCGACAACCATCTCCCTTGCCAGATATAAGGTTCAAATATCAAAATGAATGCCTTCATGAGTACCTACAGTAATTGCAGAATAAAAATGTGCGTTGTGCTGATGGAGCTTATTTCCGTTGTTTAGGAACATGCTGATGACCGGTACAAGACCTCGCCTTCCCTTGTGGTCCATGTCAGGGGTCTCTGCGATGGTGTCGTTGAAGCAGATTTAGTGGAGTCTGTCGAGAGGTTTGGACCCATAAGGTAAGTGAGTCACTTGTGAATTGTTGCTTATCTGAGTTGCTGGTTTTGGGTCAGTGAGGTGTCGGCTGCAATTTGTTGGATTTTTTCTAATGCTGATTCTTGATGGTAACCTAATAACCTTATAAGATCACAAGATTGTTTGGGGTGAAGAATGCACCCAATGTCATCCCTCCAGAATACCACGCTGCTATTTCTATCCCCCACCCCCATCACAACATCAAGCTACTTTTTAAACTAGTCCAGCATCCTCGCTTCAACCACCCTTTGTTCCAGTCATTAATTGCCCTCTGGGTAAAGAAAAACTTCATGGTATCTGTCTTAAAGCTGCCTTTGCAACTCTAATCTCAATGGATTGTTCTGGGTTTAAAATGTACACCTCTGAGGTCCCCTCTGACTCTTCTCTCAAGACTGAAGATCCCTACTTTTCTAGTTGTTGCTCATTCCTTGAACACTGGGGATCATCCTTGGTGCTCTCCTCTACCTCTAGGCCCTGGACAGCCCCCTTATGTTACAGTGACCAGGGCTGTACACAGTACTCTGTGTGGTCTGACCAGAACACTGTACAACCTGAGTGACATTTGGAGATATAAACAGCGATTTAGCAATGTAGCCCAGCAGCCAGCTGGCTGTATTTATGGGCATATAACTGAGCCAATGTCTCAGTTGGACCCATCCAGTGAGATTTCCCTGTGGTATAATGGGTGGTGAGCACCCCATGTTATAGATCAGCATAGAATAACCTCATGCTGTTCTCCAGCTCAATGCAGGCTACAAACCAGGCTACAAATATATCCACCCAATTGGTCTGTGTGGGATACATGTTTTGCTGAACTTAATAGTTCTTCTCTTGGGTGAATAGGATCTCTGCATGTGAGGTTTGTAGGTTTATTCAAATGTTGTCTGTAGAAAACTTAATCCACCTTGAAATGATCAATTTTTCAGCAAGATAATGGAGTGTGGTTTGCTATAAAGAAGGCACCCTATCCTGCAGTATCAGCCAGTAAATACCAATGCCACATCTGCTTAATAGTGTTGCATTGCAAGTGGGAATCTATTCATATTCACTACGCTATGATAGGTCAGTAAATCAGCCATATTCTGTATGGAATAGAAACGAAAATTGTCAAATCTTAAAAAAAAAGACTATCCTCGTGCACCATATCCGAACAATCTGCTGGGAGTTGCAGCTGAACTGCTTCTGTGGTTTGAGATAAGGGTTAAACTATTCGAACTTCAGTTTCCCAGTTTGATGATCCTTTAACTCTTGTGGCCCCATAAACCATTACAGACTTCAATCTGCAGCTGCAGTATCAGATATTTTGGTGTAAAACACTCTTTACTTGCAAAGCATAGATAGGTGGAAATCCAGAAAAGCTCAAACAAGTGGATATAAAATATTCTATTCAAAAACGGAAAGGAGTTTCTCCAGGTGTCCAGGCCAACAATTTCTTCTCCCTTCTCTCCCCACCTCCACCCAATAAGATTGGTCATTCACTTCATGGCTGTTTGTGGGACGTTAACGGGAGAATATTGATGTGTGTAAATGTACTGCCTCGTTCAACTATAAATACAGTGGCTACACTCCACAATAAATCCTGTAAAATACTTTGAGGCATTTCAATGCGATGAGGTACCCCATCAATTGCAAGTATTTTAAATAATAGTATTCAAATTTGCCAAATTGATTATAAGAGTCACAGTTTACCCAAAGCTGTGACAACTGACCTGATGGTTTAAGCTGATTCCCTTGTAGGGTTTCATGCTTGTTGCATCAGGTACTGGTCCAAATAATTTAACCCACAACAGCAACTTGCATTTATGTAGTGCCCCTCATGCAGGGTAGCGTCTCAGAACTCTCAACGGGTAGGAGCCTAATGCCGAGCCAGGAGGGAGGTGGTGACAGGAAACACGGTCGAATAAACTAGTAGTATGTTCTTGTAACACAGAAATGCAAACTGACATCTATACTGTAACGTGTAATTAAAATTACAATTTAAGGCTCTGATTAATTTATTAAACATCACTTCTTGCTGTCTATAGAAATTATTCCTTTCACAAGATAAAGATTGCTATACTGCTATTTAACAATTGTGGTTGGATAAAACACTGCAATGGTTTCCCCAGTTTTGCAGGATTCGGTTCTATTTTTGGGTCATTATTTGGACTTTTATTTTAAATTACAAATCGGGCTCTTCCTCTTTCATATATTTTGGGCCGTTAAACCTACATACAAAGTCTAAACAAGTACAAAGCATGACCATTATCTCTGATTATTTTTGGAAGACACTTCCTTTTAATATGAAACCGGCTCTCTTTTGTTATAGTCATCTTCAACCAGAAGCTGCAAAGAATTTGGCTTGCTCCGTTCAACAAAAACTTGTTAAATGGCTGGCGGGGGCAGAATGAGGAAGAGGCTACAGTCCAAACTTAACTCTACATAATTGTGCAAATGTATTGCTAAATACTGTTACTTATTCCAAAGAAATGTTTAGATCCAAGTGGTTATAACTATTGTTTTTGTTGTAGCTATGTGATGATGTTGCCAAACAAACGACAAGCACTGGTAGAGTTTGAAGATTTGGATAGCTCCCAGAGCTGCGTTACCTATTCAAAACGTCGGGTTATCAACGTCTCGGGATTTCCTGCGTTTTTTAACTTCTCCACCAGCCAGAGGATCACTCGCCCCGGGGGTGCCGAAGACCCCAAGAACGTCAACAACGTCCTCTTTTTAGCCATTCAGAATCCACTCTATCCAATTACCACGGTATGTTCATTCACGGTGAATAGTTCTACGTTTGCCAAACTTGTGTGCTGGTTTCGCTTGTGAACTGCGTGGTTTGGACCCAATCGTACATTGTCTCTGAGGCCACATTGTGAAGTGAAACTCGAACGGCTGATTATACCAGAAAATATGCCCCCTTTTCCAGCTGTAGAATGAGTTTGAAGCGGGGAACTGGATTTATACTTCCAGAGCTTGTTATGGACTAGCTCTGCCTGTCTGCTCAGTGCTCAGTCACTTGTGTTAGGTTTTTAAATATTGTTGAAAGTGGTGTTTTGAGGCCATCAAAAAATTGTTAAAGACGGTTTGTGAACAGGCCTGAATTTTTTTGTGTGTGTTGCCTGCATTTCTACTCCAGTGTTGTAAATCAACACCTGGTGAAACCACCTTCTTGCAGCTGGCCTCCAACTGCACTATATTGTGACCACTCAACTCATCCAGTTTAAACTGTATTATCAGTATGTTGAACAAGCTAAACTAAGCTTAACCAAGTGTTGTCAAAGTTTGCTTTTATTTATACGATGATGGTAAGGATTCAACTCCTATGGCAATCATGATCGGGCATTTCCAGATCACGTAGCAGAAGTTTTATTTGCTTCAGAGCTTGTGTACAGGTACAGAATCTTTGCACAGTTTTATATTTTCTAATATTTTAACCATGATGAGTTCCTAGATACTCGATTTCACGCTACAAAAGCTCGCCTCGTTATACCAGTAAGTGGAGTAGAACTTATCCATGCGTTATAGATTCAGACCAATATTACTGCTCAATGCTGCTGTTCTGGTGCAGCAACGTTCTTTCGTAATCATGTGCTGTGCAAGCTGCACGAGCTGTTAGTACCTTTTATAGCCCTGGCTCTTGAGCGAGATGTTGTGTGTGCCCATCTATGAAGGGGAATTGTCAACTTATGGAAGAGCATTGAGATGTAAACTAGTAAAACCTAACATTTATTAAATTACATTTTAAGCATCTTTAAGAAGGGCGGTCATTTCTGAAACATTGGAAAAATGCCTTTTAAATGACTTAATGGTATTTAATTTATATTTGTAAAAGAGCATATGGTTCTATCTCAGGCTTACGATGCATTCAGAAACTGCAAACTTCTGCATTTCCGAGCATCTTCTTGATACCCTTTCCACAGATATTTCTATTTTGGTTCAGTAATTCTTTAATTAATTCTGTGGTTCCTGGAGTATTCAGAATATGGGTAAAACTGTTATTTGCCTGTTTAAATTCAGTTTTAACTAAAGAGTTCATTGAAATCTACAACCTTTTCCTGTGGCGGATTCCAAATGAAAATGTTGCTTCATCATTGGAAAACGTTATGATTGAGAGTTTTTTTTAAAAACAAGTTAAGCAAATGCTTAACTCTGAATTAACTATACAATATGTCCAAGAACAGTTTGCATTTATATAGCATGAAGGGTGCTACATAAATGCAACTTGTTGTCCTTCCTGCAGAGTAGCACCTCAGAGCACTTATCAGCGACGGAGCTTGATGCCAAGCCAGAAAGAGAGGGGAGGTACTGTCGGAGTGTCTTTGCCCGCTACTGAACTGAGCACAGACCCTCCTTTAATTGAGAACAAGATGCTGTCAATTTAATACTTGCAAAACAAATTGAGCGTTTTGGGCTGGAAACATCCGAAAGAGATGCCGAGCATTTTAAAAAAAAGTCTACTGTACAAGTGCAATTCACAGCTGTGTTCCTGCAGCTTTCTTGGTTGATATTTAGAGCATCTTTAAGAAGGGTGGGCACATCTCAAATGCCTTTTAAGTGACTTGATGGAGTTAAAAATGTGGCATTTGTTATAAACACAATTGGGGTTGATGTAGCGGGTTGGAACAGATCTGCATGTTGCAGAGTTTGCATTTTGTTGACCTTGGCAGGGAACAGGCTGTGGTATAGCTACGTCAGCTTCATCTCGTCTTTTTCTTGCTCGAACCTGTTGTGCGCAGCCGGCCACCTCCGCTGAGGAAATAGGGACATGTTTCGATATGAATGCGCTGACTTGCCTTTCTTTCACGCTTATAAGGGATAGTGACGACAGCAGGTTCTGTTTGAGGCTGAGGTGCAGGGACCTGCAAGAGGGAGAATTTTTAGAGCCAATGGTGCAGTCGCTGGACTGTACAGTTGCTTGTATAGATTGTAAAATTGTGTTCTTCCTCTTCATACACTGTGCCTCTCCCTGCACGTGGCGCTAATAATAATTATTTTGTACAATTGCGTTGGCACCTTTCATGGATGGGGCCTGTTTTCAGGCTGCAGTCCGGTAGAGATTACATTTTAAATTTGTTGTGAGTATCTTGGCTTCACTCAATTTATTAAAAAAAAATCCACTGTATAAAGATGTGTAAGCTGATGTGGCTTCACTTGGGATTCTTGCTAGTCATCAAGAAATGACGCAGCCCACCTGTACAATTTTTGCTCTGTGTCTGTACCACCTGATCTCATTGTTTTTTTAAAAAAAACGTGCACCTGTCACATTAAACTTTCTGTCTCATTTCAGGATGTTTTGTACACTATCTGCAACACATGTGGTCCAGTCCTGCGCATTGTAATATTCAAGAAGAATGGTGTGCAAGCAATGGTTGAATATCCTTTTTCGTATACTTAAAGAGCCACACAGTTCACACAAAGAGAAGCATTGCGTTCCTTTTGGTGGTGTATTGCAGTGCTCAGTCCTGCAGAGTGCTGAGCCACACGCTCACATTGTCGAGACATCTCAAAGCGCTTCACAAGATTACCGTCACACACCCTGAACCTGTGCCCTCTTGTCCTCCATCCTTGATGTGTATTAGGTATTTGGGTGTTTATGCTTTCGATCCCATTTACCATTTTATATAAGGTCTCATCTGGCACTTCTCTTTTCTGCTTTGTAATATTTGAAGGACAACCTTGCAATTTTGTGAGGCAGCTTCAGACGAATATCAAGGGAATGCCTGAACTTCCTGCTTTTTTCTTAGTGTAGCCTTTGATATTAACATAACATGTAGGAGCAGCAGTAGGCCATTCGGCCCTTCGAGCCTGCCCCGCCATTCAATCATGGCTGATCTTCTGATCTAACTCCAGCTAATAACCTAACCCTGCCTTATCCCCATATCCCTTAATCCCTTTTGCAATAAGAAATCTATCTATCTCAGTCTTGAATATGTTTAAGGACTGAACGTCAACAGCCCTTTGGGGTAGTGAGTTCCATACATTCACCACCCTTTGAGTGAAGAAGTTCTTCCTCAACTCAGTGCAAAAGGGCTGTCCTCTGATTTTAAGGTTGTGACCTCTGGTTTTAGTTTCTCCAACCAGGGGAAACAATCTCCCACTATCTACTCTATCATGCCCTTTGATGATCTTATAGGTCTCTATGAGATCCCCTCTAATTCTTCTATATTCTAGAGAATTGGTCAGCCTATCCTCGTAACTCATCCCCTTCATCCCTGGTACTAACCTAGTAAATCTATGCTGCACCCCCTCCAAGGCAAGTACATCCTTCCTTAAATAAGGAGACCAAAACTGCACACAGTATTCCAGGTGTGGTCTCACCAGGGCCCTATACAGTTGCAGCAAGACTTCCCTACTCTTATACTCTAATCCTTTCATAATGAATGCTAACATACCGTTCGCCTTCCTAATTGCTGCTGCACCTGCAGACTAACTTTCTGTGATTGGTGTACAAGGACACCCAAGTCCCTCTGGACACTAACACATTCCAATCTCTCCCCTTCTAAAAAATAACCCGCTCTACTGTTTTTGCTACCTAGGTGGATGACTTTGCACTTCCCTACATTATACTTCATCTGCCACCTACCTGCCCAATCACCTAACCTATCTATGTCTCGCTGCATTTTTTAATGTCATCCTCTGTGTTGACACTTCCTCCTAGTTTTGTGTCATCCGCAAATTTAGATATATTAACTTCGATGTCCTCATCTAGATCGTTGATGTAGATGGTAAATAGCTGAGGCCCAAGGACTGATCCTTGTGGCACTCCACTAGTCACATCCCGCCAATCTGAAAAGGACCCGTTTATCCCTACTCTTTGTTTCCTACCCGTTAACCATTCCCCAATCCACGTTAATATGCTCCCCCCAATTCCATGGGCCCTTATCTTTTGGACTAACCTTTTATGCGGCACCTTATCGAATGCCTTCTGGAAGTCCAAATAGACCACATCCACTGATTCACCCTTATCTAGTTTACTGGAAATATCCTCAAAAAACTCATCAAACATGACTACCCTTTTGTAAAGCCATGTTGACTTGGCCTAATTATATTGTGCTCCCCTAAATACCGCATCCTTAATCAATGATTCTAAAATGTTTCCTATCACTGATGTGAGACTAACTGACCTATAGTTCCCCATCTTTTCCTTTCCACCTTTTTTAAATAGTGCTGTGACATTTGCGATCTTCCAATCCATGGGGACTGTTCCAGAATCCAAGGAATTTTGGAAGATCAGACATAAGGCCTCCACTATCTCATAAGCTACCTCTTTTAAAACCCTGGGATGCAAGCCATCCGGACCAGGGGATTTGTCACTTTTTAGTGCTAACAGTTTCCCTAGCACCAATTCTCTACTAATGAAAATTTCCCTAAGTTGCTCCCTGTCCTTATCCCCTTGGTGCATCTCTATTGTTGGCAGACTTGTTGTGTCTTCTAGGGTGAAGACAGATGCAAAGTACCCATTTAGGGACTCTGCCATGTCCTTATCCCCCATTACAACTTCTCCCGTCTCTGACTGAAGTGGACCTACATTTACCCTCACTAGCCTATTCCTCTTAATATATTTGTAAAAACTTTTACAATCAGACTTAATGTTCCTAGCTAGCTTACCCTCATACTCCTTTTTCTCGCTCTTAATGAGTTTTTTAGTTTTATTTTGCTGGTTTCTAAAACTCTCCCAATCTTCAGATTTGCTGCTTTTCTTGGCAGTTTTATAAGCCTTTTCTTTTAATTTGATGCTTTCCCTCACTGCTCTAGTTAGCCACGGATGAATTGCTTTCCCTGTGGTACTCTTATTCCGCAAGGGAATATGTGACCGCTGAGAATTTTGCACTACATCCTTAAATATTTGCCACTGTTGGTCTACATTTTTACCTCTTAATCTTATTCTCCAGTCTATTTTACCTAAATCTTTCCTCATACCTACAAAATTAGCCCTATTTAAATTCAGAACACTTGCCTCGGATTTAACTATATCCCTTTCTAACTTAATGCAGAATTCAATCGTATTGTGATCACTGTGCCCTAGAGGATTCTTAATACCTACACTGCCAACTAGCCCTGTTTCGTTACACAAAACAAGGTCTAGGATGGCCTGTCCCCTAGTTGGTTCCTCGGCATGCTGCTCTAGAAAGTTATCTCTCATACACTCAATGAACTCTTCTTCTGACCTACTTTTGCTGATTTGGTTTTCCCAATCTGTGGAGATTGAAATCACCCACTATTATCGCTTTACCTTTCCTACATGCTCCACTGATTTCTCGATTGATACCGTGTGCTATATTGTGATCACTATTTGGGGGTCTATAAACCACTCCCATTAATATTTTCTGCCCTTTTTTTTATTTCCACCCATATTGTCTCGACCACCTGGTCATCAGATTTCAGATCCTTCCTCTCCACTGCTTTTATTTCATCCCTAATTAACAGGGCTACTCCCACCTCTTTTCCCACAGTGCCTATCTTTCCTGTAAACTGAGAACCCTGGAATATTTAACTCCCATCCTAGATCTTCTTGTAACCATATTTCAGTGATGGCTACTAGATCGTACCCATATGTGTCCATCTGTGCTTTTAATTCATCAGTTTTATTCCGAATGCTTCGCGCATTCAGATATAACATTTTTAATTTCCTACCATTTCCTCTACTCTCTGATTCCTTATCTACTTTGCCAAGCTTCTTACCCCTAGTTAACATATTCCTATTGGAATATTAGGAACATATGATTTCTTTCTTGCCCACTCCCCTCCCCCCTGAAATTATATCTGGGATTGAACAGAGTTTCTGTTTAACATTCGTGACTTTCAGTGTTCTGAGCGTTATTAGTATTGTTAATTCACCCAAATGCTGTGCCTGTAATACTTGAATAACGTCTCTTGTTTCCTTAACCATTCTCACATTTGACTCAGTTCAAAGTGCCCAGAAGGCGAAGGCTTCTCTGAACGGTGCAGATATTTATTCTGGTTGCTGCACACTAAAAATTGAATATGCTAAGGTAAGTGTGTTAACCTGCTCCAGGGACCTTTGTCATTGCCAATTTAAGCAATTTCACACTTCTAAATGAGCTTTTGTTTTTCAATCCCACAACCAGCCTACTCGACTGAATGTCTTCAAGAATAATAGCGAATCGTGGGACTACACTAATCCTAACTTAACCAGAGGAGGTACAGTACACCCTTCCTATTTGTGGTTGCTCTCTCTTCCCCCCACCCCCGCCCCCCCACCACATACTTATGTGCAGATGAAGAATCCTGTGTCCCATGTTAGACCCCCAGCAACAATCTCTTTCTGTTTTAACAGTCTGGGGCAGGATAAGCAGCAGATAATGTATTGATGCAGTAATGAAATGGAAATCTGTCCAGATCTGACACTTGATAGGATGCCTCTCAAAAGTTGCAATAGTCTGTACTGTGTGAATAGACGCTTTCATTTGTGTTGTGTGCACATGAGGCAACTTTTTTTTAAACCGTGCTATTTTATCTTTTATACAATCAGCAACTACTTGGCATTCATTATCTAGCTTTGCTTTGTGACAAATGTAATTAAGCAATCTCTGCAACAAATTGTCAACATGAGGGTAGCAGGTTGAATCTGCTGGGTGATGATAACGATGCTGTGGTTGGGGGATGTGTGTCACTGATCTAGATAGAACATTAGCCAATGGTCTTTTTCTTTCTCTGTGCAACTCCCTTCTGCCCGTGATTCTGAGGCCTCCTGCTGGGAACTGCACCTGTGGTTATATTGGGTGACCATAAGATCAGACTCCTTTGTGATTGCCCATCAAAAGTACTGTTCTTGATGCACAGTACTTTTCTGAACTATTGTAACCAGTGATAAATTCCTTGATGGCTTTTATATTTGTACAGCCATTTGCTGGTAGTCTAACATCTGTTCCAAAGAGAACGTTTTGAAGGTTTTAAACTGCATACGTTGAGCTGTGGTGTACTCTGCTGGATGTTGACTAGCAACACTGTACAAGCACTGTAGTTGCAGCTCACCTACATCAACTACATGCAAACCAGGCTCCTGCACAGAAAGTTGCAGCTTTCAAAGCAACACTCAGTACTGCAGAACATTCTCACTGTTAGATGGAAAACAAAGAACCAAGACTTCAATTACAGAAATATTTTCAAAATCTTCAAAAAGCTGCAGACGCACATTATCTTCAGTGTGGAAAGACTATTGATTTGTTTGCCCCCCACACTACTGGAGCACGGCATTGATTGGCAAGGACAGGCATACCAGCAAGAGGGAGCACCACAGAGAAGAGGGAAGCCAGGCAAACTAACCACTTCATGCACCAGCGCCAACGATTGCCTGCATAAACCAGTAACAACTGACAACAGCGCAGCCTTCCGACTCTTACTCAGCTCACCCAGACTGCACGCAAACACATCCTCAGGAAACTGATCAGGAAGGACACTTTTCATTCATCGGTGCAAGGCGAATATGTTGCAAGTCGCAATTTAAGACTGTAAAATGAAACTCTATTTGAAATGTTTTGTAAAATTAAATGAGATTATTCTAAACCTAAAATGCAGCCACTGGGTGCAAGAGTCCACTTATGATGACTGCTGCAAACCAATTCCCTTGTGGAGATTTGTACAACTGTGTTCTTAAGCCTGCAGTTAAAATTGTTTTTGGACAAACCAGACAACTGGTGAGGTGCATGGTCGATGGATTGAATGCTTTTTGAGATCCACCGGTAACGGTTGTGTTTTTTTGTTGGCTTTTCTACGAAAGTTGCTCTTGCAATAGCTGAATTTGGCAGGGCGAAGCCTTAAGCAAGTTTCCTTACTCCACACATCTATTACCTGGCAGTAAGTAAGCACTCAGTTGTTAGTCGATTGGCAGATTGCTTTTCCGGGGGTAATAATCCTTCAAAAAAAATAATTTGGTCACTCAATCCACGACTGTGGCTGCTGCGTTTCACCCACAAAATATACAGTCAATTCACCTTACTGTATATTCTGTGAAGTGCTTTGAGATGTCTCAACGATGTGATAAGGCGCTATATCAAATGCAAGTATTATAATATAGTGAATCCTTGGTCAGTCCCATATTTTAAACAGTGAAATATACTCCCTGTGCACTTAACAATATGCATGACTTAAGGTCTAAATACTGTAATATCAGAAGTTTTGCAGCAGTTCTCGTAATGTGCTTTTGTTACTGAGATTTAAATTTACAAAAACCTTGTTTTTTAAACAAGACACGACCTAGAAATTGTACAATGTAAATGTATTTGTTTTAATAAGTTTATTTTAAAAAAGAAATCCAGAAATTGCTTAAGCTGATCAGATCAGTACAATGAAATTTGTTATGTGAATGTTATTCAGAAAACAAAATAACTTGAGGACAATTGGGTGATCTGCTATTACTAGATTGATGGGAGCTCCTGTGGATCTTGTTGGATATCACCATGGACTGCTGAGTTCACCCGCAAAATAGTCTTGCCACTTTGTCTGTCCTGCAAAGGAATTTGAAGTGATCAGGTGCGATAACAAATGGGAGGATTATTATATTATAAATGCATCAATGGTCTGGTCCTCAGCCATACAGAGTAAAATGGTGTGACTCCCTGAGTTAGCTGAAATAGTGGGCAGGGGAGAGAGAGAGAAGTTGCCATTTGTCCGTTGGACCTAAGGCGAGAATCTGGTAAGAGTTCTGCTCCTTGTATGTTAAATGTTGCTACCCACGGCCAGTCACGGATGATCGACTCTGATCTCCTTGACCTTTGGCACTTTCTCAAGCTATGAGGAGGGTTGGGTGTACCAAGAGCAGCATTACCCTGATCCAGTGAGGGACACTAGGACTATGAACAGGCAAGGGTGTAAGGCAAGAAGTGGATAACTAATATTGGTCTGGACAGGGGAGAGTAATGTGTGCTCTTGAGATTGACCTATGTTACTGACTTCTTAACCTTTACTTTGGAGGATGTAATAATTGAGTCGGTATTTCATAAATTCATGGACAGTGGGGATGGAAAAAGTAGTGTTTTCAGTATTTGGTACAAAATAATGATGGGGTGGGAGAAACAATGTGCTTCAACAACTTTTCTCCCTTCCCTACCCTCACGCAAATGCATTCTTTCTATCAGAAAAGATTCAAATTGAAACTAACTCAGAATTAGCCCAGTGCATATTTTTTCTCAGCTTCAGAAAAACAATTTAGATGGATTTGATGTGTCCATTTTTAAAAACTGCGGTGGAGGGTGGACTGGTTAGAGAGGGAGGATAATTGATATACTTTTAATCTGTTTACTTTAGCTATGAACTGAAGGCAGTGTAATTATTTAAGTACCAATGTCCTCTGCATCGCTCCCATCCCACTACGTTCCCAATCTTAAACCACTTTATTGTGAGAAATTGTCTCATAAATGTGCATTTCGTCTGTTGTCCAGAGTAATCCCCCATGTCTTGATAATTTGAAGATCTAAACTTCTCTTATTACCCTTAACAATTTCTGGATTTCAAGAAAAGCTATGTTGTTTGATGCCCCCCCATAGCATTGATTGACCAATTCCATGTCTAAAAGGTGCTTTTGACATTAGATCTGAAAGATGACCGTTCTGTGCAATTTTTTTGCTACAGTTCTGAATGTTTGAACTATTCAGATTTTTATGTCGTTTTTATGTAACCAGTAGATTTTTTTTTAGTTTTGGTGAAGTTTAATCCTAACTTATTGGAGTGTTTGGACTTGGTCAACCAACAATGTTCATGAGTGACCATCAATTAAAATGTTACATTTATAACTCTGTATGTTCATTTTCAAATCCTGTATTCATTGATTGTAAAACTGTAATGCAGGGGCGAAGTATCTCGCTTTTGCTGAATCCTCCTGCAAGTTGTTAAGAAGGCCTCTTTGACACTGCTCTATGTTGCTGTTTGAAGCTTATGGTACAAAACACCAGGTACTGTTTTTCAAAATTGTACTTTTTGCTCAACTGTTGACCAAATGTGCAATGCTGTATGATGTGTTGATGTATACGTGTAGCTTGTGTGGGGTTGGTGGGTTAAAGTAGTGGAGTAGAGAAAAATGGCTGCTGAATTTAAACATTTGTATAATTTTTACATAATGGAGGTGCACTATTTAAATTTCTCCTTTTCCCCTTCCCCCTCTGATTTCAGATGAAGGGAGAATTTTCAGGCAGCCGGCACTTTTGGGAGATCATCCGTCAATATACAGCGGTAACGGATATGGTAAGTGTTCTTATAGCTAGATATGGAACTGCTTGTTCCAACTCTTGTTTTACTTCCAGTTCTTCTGACTGGCTCATGACTAAACCATAACCTGTAAACATTGTGATCAGGAATGCTAAATATTAATAGCAAAATAAGTCTGGCTACTTCTGGAAAGTGATTCCAATCAATAGCTGTCGAGGCAACTCTCAAACTCTTGCATAGCTACTTGATCAACAGATAATGGGAATACAAGTGTTTTTGTCTTTTTTAAAAAAACAATGTATTGTGCTTTTTAAAGTACAGACAACAATATTTTAGTTTGAGTTTTGGAATGAAGTGATCAGTATTTTTGGAATGAGATTCCTCTGGCTATTTTGGTGCCTTTGGAACTGTTTCCGGGAAATATTACTACTTTCAGTTTGGGAGAGAAATTTGGGAAAAGACTAAATATTCCATTATCAGCAACCCAGACAACCAAGGATAATATATAGAAATCTTGTTGCATTTTCATCCACATGTGTGGATGGCTGCAAGTCTCATGACCCTGGGAATTCTCCAAAGTTTTGGCATCACTGATCCATCATTATACTTTTTGCACGGAACAACTCAGCTCATCCTATGTACCTTGTTTCTAAATTACCAGTGTTTTAATCCTCTTCTTGATTGATTTTTGCATTGCCTGATGCATTGCCCTGATGCAACTGATCCATGATTTTTCCAGGTTGCTTAAATTTGTATGTGTGTGTGCGTGTTGCGTATGTTTGGATGTAAAAGGTAATAGAACAATGTCTTTGAACAGGCTATCCACACTCAGCGGGTAGCAGTCGGTCATTAGAACGCAGAATGGCACCTCGCCCATCCAATAGCAAGTCCTCAGTCATGCATCATTACCCTCCATCACCACCACACATGGCATCGCAGCAGCATGGGTCTATGCGCTCCAGCAAAGTTCTAATGGTTTACGGACTTGTTCCGAACAAAATCAATTGTGACAAAATCTTCAACCTTCTCTGCTTGTATGGCAACGTTGAAAAGGTACGGTTGGTATTTTCGGCGCAAATTGTGTTGGAGACATAGTGCAAACATCTCACAGTGATGTGTCGCATTAACCACTGCGAAATTTGTCTTTTTGGTTTACTACAATTAATTATAATAATTGTTGCATTTGATATAGCGCCTTATCGCATCTTTGAGATGTCTCAAAGCGCTTCGCAGAGTATACTGTAAAGTGAATTGACTGTATATTTTGTTGGCAAAATGCGGCAGCCAATTGCGCATAGCAGTGTCCCACAAACAACCGTGGATTGAAGTGACTAATTTATTATTATTTAAGGAATTATTACCCTCGGAAAAGCGATCTGCCAATCGACTAACAACCGGGTTCCTACTTACTGCTAGGTAAACAGAGGCCTGTGGAGTAAGGAAACTTGCCCAACATCTCACCCTTGTGGGAATCGAACCCGGTTCTCTCACTGGCAAGGCGAGCGCTCTAACCATTGAGCTACCTGTCGGACGAGTATATTGTGTGCGTTTTTTTAAATCTGAAATTGACCGGGTTCGACGGAGCAGTCACTGTTCCTTAATTTGAGAAATGTAGGAGGTGTCACCTTTCTAATCTAGTGTATTGTTCAGTAAGTGTTCTACCTTTTTGTTTAAATAACAAGAAAATAAAAACCTTACTAGTACAGTAGAGCCAGTCATCTGAATTAATCATCTGAAAAGAACCTGGAAAAAGGGGAGGAAAGTGAAGTTGATGAACTGTTCAGAGCTGCCTGTTGAATTTATTATTATGTAGCTCTTCAGGATACCATTTTTTACCCTACATTGACCTTTGAGTCTCTCTGTTCATTGTAACCGGTTTACTTTAGGTCAAGTTCATGAAGAGCATGCCAGATGCTGCGATGGTTGAAATGGGTGATGAATTTTCTGTGGAGCGGGCTATCACCCACCTCAATAATGTCCATATGTTTGGAAAGCCGCTCAGCTTGTGGTAGGTGGCCAAGATTTCCACGTACGCTTAAAAAAAAGTTAACTACTTATGCTGTGGACATTTATAATTAAGGGTGTGTTCTTGTGTTTAGTGTCTCCAAACAGCACACAATTATGCCGAGTCAGTCTTATGAACTGCAAGATGGCACCAATAGTTACAAGGACTTCACTGACTCCAGGAACAATCGCTTCTGCAACCCTGGACAGGCTTCCAAAAACAGGATCCAACCTCCTTCCAGCGTACTCCATTTCTTCAATGCTCCAATTGGAGTAACAGAGGAAACATTTCAACAGGTAAGCTGTCTGAAAGCTAAAGTGGGCTGTAACCAATAGGTTAAAATTCCCAAGTAAATAATTGTGGGTGTTTCATACATCTTTTTCTTTTAAAAAAACGTTTCATGCCAAAACTTGGTCTATTCACTGTAAGGTCTATTTATGCTGGTTTTCTTTGTTAGTGTGAAAATCTCAATGTTACATGGCAAACAACACTTAGGCATGCGTACTGGAGCCTGTCTGACTGATCTACTTGGTTTTGGTATCCGCACCAGTTTAGTATAAATGTAGGCATTTTTGTACATTAACACCTTGGGATTCCCCAGCGCCTTGGAGTGTACTCCCCACGTGAAAGGTGCCATACAAAGTTGTTTGGGAAACCTTGCTGGCAAAAAGTGGGTGTTGTGTTTGCCCTGCACTTGCCTGAATACCTGTGAAACACTTTGAGACATTTCAATGTGATGAAATGCTTTCGTTAAAAAACAAAAGTATTCTTCACATCCTGTGAATTCAACTCGTCGCTGCGAATGAGATTTGTGGGTGACTGAAATAAATCCTGTTTCTTGCTCCAACACTATTGCTTAAAGGACACTCACTATTTGATACATTTTCATTATGGAGAGCCTAGGATCTGTCTATTAGAATATTGCTTTTTTTATTCACTAAGAAGATCGTTTAATTGCTGTATGATTTTTTTGTATCTCTGTCCAGTTAAAGTGTAACATGTCTTTTGCCTTTCTCCTAGATGTGTGAGGATTCCGATCTGAAGTCTTTTCTGACATACAAAACATTTTCTGGAAAATGTAAGTAATGCGATGACGGTGAACAAACTGATTCAAAAGTGCTTTCAAAATCTTTAAGTTGTGATGAAACTAAGTTGTTAACTTGCTTATCTACTATGGTTAAAAGAAAAAAAAGGGAAAATATCATTTATGCCAGCTGTCTGACTTGTGGAAACCCATTATAATGCTTGAGAATATCCAACCCAGACAGTTCCACATATGTATACAACTTGCACATTGTGTGCTTATTTAAGATCTGTTATCATTCAATCAATGGCAAGTAGAAGTTAAAAGAAGTTTTTGTTGGGATATTGTAGTAGAAATTAAAATATCAAACTTGCCGATTCATTTATAAGTCATAGTAAATGGCACTTTGAAGTCGCTGGATCCTGCAAATTCTGAGATTGTGTGGTCACAGTCTATGGGACATGAAGGGTGTAGCTAGAACTTTAGGAGTGTAGAGTATGGAAGTATAGCCCAGCACTCAATGATCTGTAATGCTTCTGGTTCACTTGAATACATCAAACAGAATTTTCATTTGTTTTAGAGATTATTAAATTTCCTTTGATCTGATTTTTGAATAGGTAGAAAACTGGACTCCAGATGGAGAAATAAACACTTTGTGGGCTAAGATTATCAGTTTGGATTGAAGTTTCTCTAAGACTGCTGTATAAAACCAATATAATATGATCGGTTTGAAATGAAATGCAGGTGATTCAGTGCTGAAATGATTGAGTTGACACCTGATTGAGCTTCTCTCAGAGAATATTTTTCCTTTTCCTGAGCGTGTAGATGATCTAATTTTTTAATGTTCTGTTCCCTTTTTAGCTGACCGGAGTTTATCGGGCTTGTTGGAATGGCAGTCGAAAGATGAAGCTGTGGAGGCGCTGGCCATGCTGAATCACTACCAGATAAAAAATCCAAGTAAGTGATAAAAATTACAGCTGGAATTCCTGAAGCAGACTGGAAAATATGGCTCAATAAATTTTTATTTCCATTAAATTGTTATCCACAGCCAGTCACATATTTCATAAAGCTACACTTGGGATGGGATTTGTATTCTTGATGAAGATCAAGATGTCTTGTTTTCAAACTGAAATGATCTGAAGTCGCCAAGAGGAATGGTTTTAACTCAGCACAACCTCCATCATTACGGTCGAGCATGTGTGATTGATGATGTTACTCTTTGCAGATTTATCATCGTGGTCACTTAGTAGTACTGTGGCCTCTGGATCAAAGTGATGGGCAAAAGGCTAGGCCGATAGTCTAGGCTAACATTCCAGGGCAGTGCTATGGCAGCACTGGATTGAGTCTTCACATGAAATGTTAAATTGAGGCCCCATCTGCCTTTTTTCAGTGGGATGTGAAAGATCCCACAACACTGTTTGAAAAGAGAAGCAAGTTTCTCCAGGTTAAATTGGTCAGTCATCTCATGGCTGATTTGGTGCCTGTATGCATTGGAGTAGCACCATGTAGACTGAGCTCAGAGCAAATTAATTCTTGAAAACTGTTTAAAGGTTTATGCTTAAAGGAACCATTTTTCTTTTCAGGTGGTCCGTATCCCTACACCTTGAAGCTCTGTTTTTCATCCATCTCCCATGTATGAAGATGGGCTGAAGTGTGAACATGAGAATTTGGCAATGTACACCTGCAGGCAACCTTACACTTGACACTTGCAATTACAAAGCGAAAATTGTCCTATCCGTTTTGAATGGTGTTGTATCACTTTATACCTGCTAAGTGGAAATAAAATCCTTTTTCTTCAGTTTAACTTGTAACTTTTTTTTCAAAACTGTATCGGAATAATATAAAGTAGACATTAAACTACCATAAATTAAGTGCTGCTTGGTTTATTAGGCAATCAAACTTGTTTTGGTCCTTTATGTCCGTGTTTAAGACCTTAATATGTCGATACGTAAAAGCTTAAATGTTTATGCAAGTGACCTTGTGAATTAGAACTATGCAAGTGATGAAGAAATATCTACTTGTGGTGTACTTTTACGTGTTGATGGCACTTTTGCTATTTTTCTCCCTGTGAGTTAAAACTGTAGGACTGTTATTCTTTGGGAAACGTAGTTTGTGATGGTTTGTTTGGTTTCTTGCTATAAACTACGCACATTTTTGTGATCCTAGAGTTCTGTGTATTGCTGAAACTGAAGTGCCAAAATTGATAGTGATTTTAAACACTATGCCTGAACTTGGTATTTGTAATGGGCTTGTTGCCACGTGTTAACTCCTGCTGTGGTTAAGTAGTTCATTAAACATTTAAAAGATATATCTGCAGATTTTGTCGCTTCATTAACCTAGTTTATAAAGCCTGAATGGTCGTCTATGAGAAAAAGACAGCCATACTTGTCTTGTTCTGTTGGTTCTTTCCCTGTTCTCACCACAGTGAGGAGTTGCTGTGAAGGGAATTGCATGTTAGCAAAGCATTCTGAGCATCTTACTAATGGACTGTTGAATGATCAAGATATCCAAAAACTTGTGACTGTGATGCTCACACAGTTGAATAGACTGTCAATGCTGACTGTTAAGGCTCGCTTGGGTGAGGTACTAAAGCTCACACTGGAACAGCGTTGAGCATTCAGCTTGGTTATAGCATGGGTAAGCACAGAGAACCTCCCTTTGGTGCATCAATGTATGTCAACCTTGCTCTGTCGTCTGAGTCAGAAGGTTGTGGGTTCAAGCTCTATGTTGGGACTTGGGAACTTGGATAGTCTAAGGTGACATTCCAATACGGTGGGGTTTCTGTGCTGCACTGTTGGAAGTGCAATACTTTAGATGAGACATTAAACTAAGGTAACCACAATCCTTGTCCTGAACCCATTGAAATCCACACATTTAAAAATGAAAGGTGACAAAATGCAACTGATTTTGTTGACTTCTCAGCAGTATTCAGACTGGCTTTGCTTTATCAGTAGCAAGAATGTCAAATTCTGCCTGGAGTTTCGCTGATGCACATTAAGTTCCAGACATCAAATGAGTTTTCAATCAAATGGAAAAAAAATCTAGATAAATCTGAAGGTTAATCAGTGAGCCACAAAAATCACCTCTTCAAACCCCATCAAAGGAAGTTTGATTCCACTTGGCTGAAAACGTTTGTCACAGTGAAGAGAGTTTATAGTCTAGGCTGACACTCATTTCCTTGCCATGCTGAAGGAACCCTGCAATGTCACGAGTGATAAGAGTCATCTGCCTTTTAAGATGGATGTTAAAATTCCCTGTGCTATTTGAAAAGTGAACAGTTTTGGTAATATGACAGCGCTCCCTATCCTTCAGAGGATCCAGTTCAAGATCCTGGTCCTCACCTATAAAGCCCTCCATGACCTTGCCCCACCCTACCTCTGCGACTCCTAACCCCATACTTACCCACCCGCTCTCTCCGCTCAGCCGGCTCTGGCCTGCTCCACATCCTCCGCCCACCATTGGCGGGAGAGTCTTCAGCCACTCTGACCCCAACCTCTGGAATTCCATCCCCCCCATCACTCCACCTCACCCCCCCTTAGCCTCCTTCAAGTCCTACCTCAAAACCCTCCTCTTCGACCATGCCATCGGTCAATCCCCTTCCCCTCCCCTCCCTTCTCCCTCCCTGACACCAGCTCGGGTCTGAAATCCTGCACACTGTCCAGCACCTTGGGATGTGAAAGGCGCTATACAAATGTAATCTTGTTGCTATATCAATTCAAGGATTATTGTTACCAGTCTCTCCACCCATCTCTGTACAATCACGTGCCGCATTCTTCAGGACTCTATCCTTGGTCCTCTTCATATCCCAATGTTCCCACTCAGTGACATTATCCACAGTCAGTGAGTGGGTTCACTTCCATATGTATGTGAATGCCATCCAACTCTTTCTGCCTCCACTCTTGATTCCAGGACCATTGCTGTTCTGACCGATTGCATGTTAGACATCAAGTTCCAGTTGAGCTCCAACTTTCTTCAGCTGATCGTTGATGAGATGGAGGCTTTCCTGCTTGGCTCCTGTCAGCTCCTTCTCATCTCAGGTGCTGATTGCACCAACCTGCATCAACACTCCTCATTCTCCCCCCACCCCCTCCACCTGAGCCAGTGCAAAACCTTGTTTGATTCCCACTGCCTTTCTGCCCCCCTCAGCTTTTCTCCCACCTCTGAAACATTGTCATTTATTATCTCAGCCTTTATAAGAGAAATCACTATGTTCTTACTGTGCATGAGTTAGATTTTCCATTTTTCTGTGGTTACCAGTGATGTATCAAAGGCAAGGATTATTATCTTTCAGAACAGGGCGTTCAGTTGTGAAACTATAACAACAATTTATGTTTATATAGCGCCTGCCTTTCATGGTCAAAAGATGATCTCAAAAGCATTTCACACTTTAAATTGGAGCCTCAGCTGGGGAGTGAGGTGGGAGTTGGCTGACTACGTCCTGAAAACAGGACGCTTGGCTGAGAGATCAAAACACAGATAAGGCGACCTCATAGCATTACGTTTTAAGAATAAAATGCTAATATTGAGTTCAGCACAGCAATGCTGATGTCTTCAAAATACAGAGTTCGGAGACCTGATCAGACGTGGTAAGCCATTGTTGGCTTGACCAGACTGTCTACCATAAAACCGATCAGACACAGATCAGCTGCAATTAAAGTAAAATGTCTTTCAAGGAATAATTGGTTCAGATTATTCTTAATCCTATTAAAACTGCAAATCGCTTAGCGACAATGATTGCTCCAATTCACGAATACGTAATGCTACAGCACAATGGAAGTTTGCTTGGTTCAGTTGCTATATACTCAATGTGCCTGATTTATTTTTTAAGCGTAATTAAGATGTGTTAGCGTCGTGCTTTATTAGAGGATTTGCTTGTTGTCTAAAACAGAGGCCCTGTTTAATCTCTTTAATGCAGGTGCTCTAATTTGGGTGTAAAATGAGTACAGTAATCTATTTTCCCAGTTTTCTGGATCTTGCTTTTCATTTTCAAATTATCTGAACTATAAACCTTTACCTAAGGATCAGTCTTGGTACATATAAAAACCAGAATAGCCTTGAACCTATTACTAAATTCTTTAGAGGAAATAAAATCCATATGGCAAATTGCTATTAATACGCTGGTTTGAAGCAGCTGAAAATTGCACACTTGTGTTTATCTGTGTGTGTGTGTGCACGCACAACAGTGTTTGCAAGCTTGATAGGCACTTAGGGGCATCCTCCCGATGTGAAAGGTGCTATAGAAATACTGTGTACAAATGTTAATTGTTGTTGTTGACAAATATACTCCTAATCAGATTTTTTTTCTTGTTAAATAACTCGCTTTGACTATAATGTGAACTATCCCCCAAAAGGCTGTGGATGCTGGATCCATTCACATTTTCAAGATGGAGTTAGATAAATAGTTATTAGGTCAGGGTATTAAGGGATACGAGGCAAGGACGGGTAACTGGACTTACCTTCCTCCCCCACATCTGGTCCCTCACCAGCACCGCCTTCTTCCACCTCTGACGCATCGCCTGTCTCTGCCAATACCTCTCTCCGAAAGACGCTGAAACCCTAGTCCATGCCTTTGTCACCTTTCGGCTGGACTATTCTAACGCCCTCCTCGCCGGTCTTCCATTCACTACTATCCATAAAATCCAGATCATTCAAAACTCTGCCGCCTGCATTCTCACCCGCACCAAACACCACTCCCCGATTACCCCAGTCCTTGCCAGATACAATACCCTTGTATTCAAATCCCTCCACTCCTCTGCACCCCCCTACCTCTCTGACTTCTCTCCTCAAAACAGTACCCGTTGCCTTCGTTCCTCCGGGTCTGGCCTCCGCCTCATCCCCCGAGTCCGCCACTCCACCCTCGGCGGCCGTACCTTCAGCCACGATGCCCCGAGGCTCTGGAATTCCCTTCATCACTCTCTTTGCCTCGCCCCCTCTCTCCCTATTTTCAGGTCCCTGCTGAAGACCTTTCTCTTCGAACGCCCTTTGGTCACCTTCCTCCCCATCCCCCTGGCTCGACCCCGGGATACGTTACTGTGAAGTGCTCTGAGACGTCGTCCGGGATGGAGGGTGCTATATAAATCCAAGTTGTTGTTGTTAACTTGAGGTATTGATCAGCCAAGATCTTATATAATGGTGGATCAGGCTCGAGGGACTGAATAGCCTGCTCCTGTTTCTATGTCTATGTATCCCCCCTGAAGCAGAAATGTACAATCAGATTCTCACATAGCAACTAGATCATATCAATTTCAAAGGCTAAGGCTGTAATGTAAAACCATGTCATCTGGAACAATTTGATAGCCTGCATGTTGTGTCTCTCTCTAACTGAATGCATGTGACTGATCTGGGTTCCAGAAACATGTCTCATAATATGGATTTAGATAACGGATAGAATTCTGTTTAAAATCAAGCGCGCCATGGGTGAAGGCCATGCCAGGTAAAGCTCCCACGACCAATTTCCGGGCACCAGTTGGGAACAGGGCAATTGGCCTTTGCATAGTTGAGCTTGGGAAAGGGTTGGGAGGGGGGGTGGGAATTGTGCGTAGCTATATCAACCAATGTCTCCTGTGTGTTTGTGATGTTGGGTAACATGTTAAAACAACATCACAACTTCCATTGATATAGCACCCTTCATGCAGGGTAGCATCTTGGAGCACTTCAAACGTGGATATGATGCCCTCCACAGCCTGCTCTTGCCTGGAGAGCAGCCATGTGGTTGAGGAGAAAGAGGGGTTACCAATACTTGGACTCAACAAAGAGTCAAAACCCATGATCCCACCAATGTGCAGGGATCCTTACTGGAAGTTTGCATGTATGGACATCAGGTAAGCACAGAATCAGGCTCAGCTGCGATTACTCACTCTAATAACCTGCAAAAATAATAATCCCTCCAAAACCAAAACAATAATAAATTGGTCATTTTCAATCTACGACTGTTTGTGGGACATTGCTGTGCGCAATTGGCTGCCGCGTTCGCCCACAAATATACAGTCAATTCACTTTACAGTGTGTTCTGCGAAGCGCTTTGGAACGTCCTCCCGACGTGAAAAGCGCTACATCAAATGCAAGGATTAGTATTATTATTATTTTAAACACTGCTACAATCATCTACATTATGAATGGCATCAAGTGTTACAATTCCATATTGTTGATTTTCCCCCAACTATTGAATCCATGTTATAAGAGAATAATCGTCAATCTGTTGCTGCACTAATCAATCGAGCAACCAATTTTATTTTAATTTTAAGGGTGGGTTTCTAGCCCACTTTTAATGGCGCTTTCCTCCCCACCAACGTGTTCCCAGACCCTCTGTTAATGCTGCTGTTCCACTGCCAGGTACAAGCTGGTACTGCAAGATGCCACCAGGTGGCACCGTTGCTGCTGTGTTGCCTGCGGGTCACAGTTGGAGGAGGTTGGTTGGTATTGTAGGACAGACAGTATGATGAGTAAGTGCTGTACCATTGTCAGAGTGCGTCACGAGAACTTGGATCCTGCAGCTTTAATGTTTTATGCAACAAATCACAGAGAACCAGCAACAACAAAAGCAGAACAGTGCTTTAAACCGCCTTTTTTGTGCCTTTTGCAAGAACTCTGCCTTTTGAGTAGCGGCCGGTTTTAAAGTGGGAGAGCCTGCCGTGCTGTTAGTCCAGGTTGTCAGTGTATTAGTATAAATGTTTAGGAAAATAAAGGTACTCTGGTTACCACAAAAACCCGTGCGTGACTTTTCATGATTTCTACGATGATTTCCACGACGTTTGGCATTTTTGAAATGTCTAATCATTCTTTCTCAAAAAAAAATTGAGAAAGCAAATTAAAAAATCCAGTTAATTTTACTCCTGAAAATAATAATAATCCTTGCATTTGATATAGTGCCTTATTGGATCATTGAGACTCTCAAAGAAATTCGCAGAATATACAGTGAAGTGAAATAACTGTTTATTTTGTGGACAAAATAACAAAAAAGGAAGGAGTGGATGCATCTGCACTTAGCCTTGAGAATTTCAGATGAAATTTCGACCCTCTAAGTACAATCATCACTATGAAGCACTTTGAGACATTTTAGAGTCATACAAAAATTCAAGTTCTTTATTCTTAATGTGCACTTATTATTGCTGACAGCAAAACACATTTTGGCAAGGGAGCAACTTTGCTGAGTAATTGCACTTGATTGTCACAGATACACAGGATAATGTAAATGATACAGCTCTACTATAAATCAGTAGAACATTGGACTGCAGATGAAACACACCACGTAGTGCTCCATGCGAGTCCTCATTCCTTTTATACCTTTGATAAAGAAGCATGGTATATGCTCATGTACAGAGAAAGGTCCAAGGACGTGTCTGGCAGTAACATGAGGTCATTCCAATGCTTGTTAATCTCCAAAAGCTTTGCTCAGATCATAGATTTAATAGCAATGTTTAAAAGTAACCCAGATTACAAGTGTTTGCTGAACAGTTGGCTCAGTGAAATATGCTGCTCCCTGTGTCGATGCTACTGAGGAGACACTATCTCTAGGAAGATGTGAGGCTGAGTAGTTATTCTGAAGTTCTGCTACTTTACCTTTGGGAGTTGGGGAGAATTTGACCTTAAACATGTGGTAGTGCAGATCATGATGGTCTGTGGTAAGGGATCTATCCTTAGCATTAGATAATAAACTGGGTTCTGTCTCCATGTTCAGGGGGACATTAAAGATCCCTTGACACCTTGAAAAGAGAAGGCTCGAGGGGCCAAAACTGTATCAAACTCTACAAGAGGTCGATGGTAAAAATAACACAAACATGAGTCCAAAGATTTCTCTGTGATTGCTCCATAGCTTACAGATACCCTGCGACTTCCTAATCCCCTACCAACCTGCCCACTCCCTCCACTCAGCGGGCTCCGGCCTGCTTTATGTCCCTTGTGTCGCTGGTCCCACCATTCACGGGGGGGCCTTCAGCCACTCTGCCCCCATCCTCTGGAACTCCATCCTGCAGTCCCTCTGCCTTGCATTCTTCAAGACCCTCCTCTTCGGCCGAGCCTTCGATCACCGTCCTTCACCCCCTGCCCTACACCCTCCCCAATGGACCTTCAGCTCAGGTCCGAAACATTTATTATCCAGCGCCTTCGGATGTTCTCCCGACGTGAAAGGCGCTATACAAATGTCATTTTGTTGTTGTTGCTTTATAGCCTACTGATTGCTCTTTGCTGACAAAAAAACAGTCGCTACACTTTACGGTGAAAGATAGTACTGAAAACACTTGAGGCTTTTCATTGAGCTGATTCAGGAACCTTTATTTACTTTTAAATGACTATAAGTTGGACATTTATGAAATCCAGATGTGATCCCACTATTTTTATAAAAAATATTGTTTTTAATTAAAGCCAATTTAAAATCTTAGTTTAAATAAATGGCAATCCTCCCACTTTGCAAACACTATATATTTAGTCACGTCCTGACTGACCATCACTTATAAGCAGTTTGCACTCTGTAAGAGAAGGCCCCCCCATGCTTATTGTTGCTCTGCGCAGTTGCTCTATTACTTGTACAATATTTTTTAGCCTATCTTTTCAATTTGTTTCTGTACACTCCCTGTTCTTCTTGCTCACTACATAAATCACAGCAGTGTGACTGCTGGCGTGGTAACTCACTCACTGATTGATCAGTCCAGTTAAATACGCATTGAACTGTGAAAACAGTCTGACCCAGAGGTTTGACATAAACCTTCATCTTATTCCATTAAAAACAAGTCACGTCAGAAACAAAACAAAAAAAGGTTACCTGAGTTACCTGGTAACTTTGTTTGATGCAAAGGGCTGCCAGGATCAGATCTCTGTGGATCAGGTGAAAAAATCAGCAGTAAAAAGATTTGATTCCACTTTTCATTTGATGTTATTAATTACATAAGATTCAAATTAGATGCATGCTTTTGAGCAGAAAACACGGCATCGAATCGACTAGCTAAAAGTGCATTGGACCACAGTGAAGGCCTCAATGTTGTTTCAAGGAAGCACCCAAGATGAGAACATGAATCAGAAGTGTCCCACTCTGGTCATATCCCAGGTCCCAGATGATCTCTCTGACGGCAGGCATACCCCAGAGCTGCCGTCTGTCACTCACCTCAATGTCAGGAGACCCTCCCTCATGGATTCTCTGAGCAGTCTGGTGGCAGTGGCTCAGGAAGGCTTCCGAAAAGACCAGGAGGATTGGAAAAAACATTCCGATGTACTGCATAGGAAGCCTACGAAGATGACTGGAGCCATTCCCCACATGAGCACCTCGTTGGCTGTTATTTGCCTGGTCCTGAATATCCTAGCTCCTGGCACAGGTAAACATGTATTTAAGATTCATCTACAAAGTTGTTTTAGCTGAAGGTTTAACCCTCTCTCTAGCTATTATTTAGAAAAACTTGAATTTTTATGATATCCATGATGTTGAAATACCTCAAAATGCTCAATAATAAGATTGCATGCATTTCAAATAGCACTTATAACAAGTCTGAAAGTGCTTTACCGTAGTTACTGTTAAGTGTAATGACTGTATTTGTAAACAAATGTGGCAGTATGAGACATAAAACCAGGAAGGAGGTGAATGGCCGATATATTTTGGAAGGGCATTTCTCAGTAGTAAGTGAGCAGCAGTTGTGATTGTAAGTAAACAAGGCAGCTGTTTTTGTGAGCAAAGTTCCACAAACAGCCAGGAGGCATATAACGCATTTATCTGGAGGATTGTTGGCCAGGACTCCAGGAGAAACAACTGTCATTTCAAATACTGTACAGTAATGTTAAGGGATCTTTGACATTCCACCATTATTTCGAATCACTTACAATAATCCCTCCAAAATAAAACAATAATAAATTGGTCATTTTAAATCCACGACTGTTTGTGGGACACTGCTGTGTGCAATTGGCTGCCGCGTTTCGCCCACAAATATACAGTCAATTCACTTTACAGTCTATTCTGTGACGCGCTTTGAGACGTCTAGAAGACGTGAAAAGCGCTATATCAAATGCAAGGATTATTATTATTATAAGCAAATGCAAGGATCATTATGAAAGAGCAATACAGGTTTGTACCGGGTGTCCTGGCAAACAACCCTCCAGAAAACATACAAAAAGAATAGTATTGTATGATCGAGCAATGAGAGCAGGCCCCATTCTGGCTGGTTCCTATAGCATTAAGGGCATCCACTATATAGCCGACTGAGAACATTTTGTGGTGCAACAAAAGAATTCAAATGCAAGCAAAACCACAGAACAGATCACAGCAATACTGTATCTACAGTGGCCTGTTCCTGTCCTCCCAGTGTTTCTGCTGTAGTATAGCCACACATCCGATCCCCCAGATAAAACTAGTCAATCACTTTGTGGCTGTTTGTGGGATACTGCTGTGTGCAAATTTGCTGCTGTGTTTGCCTAAAATACAACTTTACAGTAACTCCAGTGAAGTGCACTGAGATGTTTTGATGGCATGGTAAGGTGTTATATAAAATACAAGGATTGTTATTATTAATCAAGTCAATTGCAATGTTTCCTTTGAAACTAGAAAATGTGGCAAATACAAATCAGAATGCATCCAGCATCTAACTAGTTTTGATACTGGATACAGTAAACTGCCTTTCTCTTTCAACTGACCTGCTGCTGGGCATTCGCAGCAATTTCAAGAATAGACAGAACATAAATAAAGAACCTAGACAGTACAATACTGATTATTAAACTCATTTGGGGATTCAAATGAAAGTTATCAATCCTCATAGCTTTGCTGCCTTGGTTTATGAGATTAATTGAGCCACTCGGTGAGATTATATTTCCTCTATATCCATTGTTCAGTGTCCAGCAATGCGTCTGTAAAGTGTTCTGAGACTTTATTTTACCTGAAGTGCACTAATAATAATAATAATAATCCTTGCATTTGATATAGCGCTTTTCACGTCGGGAGGACGTCCCAAAGCGCTTTACAGAATATACTGTAAAGTGAGTTGACTGTATATTTGTGGGCGAACGCGGCAGCCAATTGCGCACAGCAATGTCCCACAAACAGTCATAGATTGAAAATGACCAATTTAATTATTGTTTTTGGTTTTGGAGGGATTATTATTAGGCGTGTGGAGTAAGGAAACTTGCCCAAGGTTTCGCCCTGCCTGGAATTGAACTCAGGTCTCTCGCTTGCAAAGCGAGTGCTCTAACCACTGAGCTACAGGACTCCGCACTACATAAATACAAGTTGCATACAAGTTAAGTACTGTCTTTATGTGCATATTTTTAATGGATCAATGTCTTTATATAATCCTTAAATAATTTTCTATATTATAATAATCCTTGCATTTGATATAACGCCTTATCCCATCTTTGCGACATCTCAAAGCGGTTCACAGAATATACTGTGAAGTGAATTGACTGTATATGGATTGGAAACATCATTTATACAATCCCCAAGTTGTAAGTACCTGAATCCTAGCAGCCTTGGTATAAGTTTGTCCCAATATCTCATTTAAATGTTCCTTAATCCTGTCTTTGTGCATCTTTTTATTAAGACCTGTATATGATTCAGTGGTGCCCTCTTCTGTTGTGTATAGCAATGAAAGTACTGCAATTTCAGGTAAAGTCCAGTGCTGCTGCTCATACTCACCATGGCGATGGCTATTGTTGACTGTCTGTTCATACCCACAAATTGTTTTGTTTTGCCTGAGTTAACAGCAGGTAGGAACATTGCGGGAGTGGTTTCACCACATAATTTTACCCAACATCTTATCTGAGTCATGTGGAGGCTGCATCTGCCTTGTGATTCTGCTAGACATTAAGGGACACTCCCTCCCCCACTGCTATTTCAAAAAAACATGGAATCTTTCTCTCTGTTATCCTGGGTTAGATTCCCCTCCGCATCCAAATTCACCCTCAAATGAATTGGCTCCTCGTCTCATTGTTGGTTTGCAGGTTGTTGCTTGTGCAAATTAGCTGCCGGATTTGCCTGAGTAACAATACTCACTTTGTTTCTAATTAATCTCATTCTGTAAAACGATGTTTCTTTCATGGTGCTGTAGAAGTGTAAGCTGTTGCCTAAGGCCAAAACTGCTGCCTTGTGTGTATAATCCTGAACCAAATAGAAAAATGCTAGCAATTGGCATGTGATAGAGTCCACCAGAAAACATAAATCTCAATTTAAAAAAAGTGTATTTTCTCTCAGAGTCCTTCAGATGAAGTTTTCTTTAGGCAATTATCTGATGACAGTACTAATTGTTATTCAGCTGTCAGGGGGCATGCTATTGGTATCACCAATTTGTTGTAAATACCCTAAACCAGAAGGTTGTGATTTCAAGCCTCATGTTATGATGTTGAACTCACAGTCTAGGCTGACACTTCAGTGTAGCACTGGGGAGAATTTCATTGCCATACCTGCTGCTCTTCAGATGAGATGTTGAACCAAAGTTCAAGTGATAAGGATCCCATGGCACTATTTGAAAGGAGAAGGGAGTTTTTTCCGATATCTCGGCCAACGATCTCCCAGATCAAATTGGTTGCTCACTTCAAGGATATTTCTGAGACAACACTGTGCACAAACTGGCTGCCACATTCACCTACAAAATACACAGTCGCTACATTTTACAATAAATCCTATGACACACTTTGAGTCCTCACAACATGAAAGGCAAGGATTATTATTTTTATTTATTTAGAGCATTTAACATAAAACGTTGGTAAATTGCATCACCGTAACATGTTGTAAAGTAAATTATGGGCATGATAATTTCACAGTGATTTTCACCATAGGCCAAAAATGAATGGATAATGAAAATTGATTTTCAAAATATATTGTAGATTAAAGAAGTATAACATAATTCACTGAGAAACAGTGATTAAATAATCTCCATTATAATGATGGTGTTCAATTTCGCATACTTGTGTTTCTCTTGAATGTAATAAAGGATTAATAAAATATGTTTTGGGACCAACAGTTAAGTCTAGTGATTTGTCAAATGAAATACAAAGCGATTAAAATCAAGTGAGTAAAATATTATCCTGTAATCCTTTCTCGTTTAAAAAAATCCATTACATTTTGGCAATATAATCCTTGCATTTGATAAAACGTCTTTAATATCAAAAGGGTTTTACAGGAGATTGTAAAATGTGGTCACTGTATATTGATAGGCTATTCTATAACTCAATTCTGTAACCATTGAGTACAGCAATGCCCCACAACCATTAAGTGAACAAATAATTTTACCTGGAGGATTGTTGGCCAGGACATTGTCTTTTCTCTTTCTCTTTTCAAATAATGTCATAGGATCTTTGACATCTAACTGAAGATAGATAGAACCTCTGTTTAACACCTCATCCAAAAGACAGAGAACTTCCAACAATACAACTTTCTCCCAGCATTGCACTGAAGTGACTATGGAGTCAAAATGGATGAACCCACAACCTTCTGACTCATAGGCAAGAGAGATAGCAATTGAACCTGGTTGATGTGCTGTTTAAAACATAAAACACGTTTTTGGATGTCCTTCAACAAACGGCATTTATATAGCACTCTTCATGCAGATAGCATCTCGGAGCACTACACGATGGCCAGGTTACACACCAAGAAGGGAGAAGGGGAAGGGGGAAGTGAGGGGTGGAGGGACTGGACTATGAGGAGCGATTAAGTAAACTGGGCATGTTCACACTGGACAAGAGAAGGTTGAGAGGTGATATGATTGCAGTTTTTGAGATTCTAAAGGATCTGAATAATGCAGACCATGATAAGCTGCTTTATCTTGTGCAGAACGGGAGAACCAGAGGACATGGCTTGCGATTGAAGGGGGTCAATTCAAAACAAATCCGTGGAAACACTATTTCAGTGAGGAAGTAGTAAATGTATGGAACAGGCTCCCTACAGGGACAATGGAAGCAGAAAGTGTTGATACTTTCAAAAGCAAATTAGATAGATTTCATTTATGAAATAGTATCTTGGGATACAGTATATAGTTTGGGACATGACATATGCAAGCGACTGCCAGAATGGTGGAAGACCAACTGGATAGACCTGGTCTTCTCTCATCTAGCAATTCTTATGTTCTTATGACCATAGAGATCAAAGATATGAGTCTTGAGGTGGCATTTAAAGATAGATAAAGTAGTGGTAGTGGCATAGCCAGTGAGTGGATGAGCCACGTAGACTCAGACGTAAATTTACTAACTGAGCCATTGGGGGAGCTTCAAGTTTATTTTGTTGTCCTTTCTATATTTGTTCAGTTCTCGGTGGGGGATGGGTGGCTGAGTGGTGGTGAAAAGCTGAGTAGCAGTCTGTCACTCTGCCCTGCACCTGTTGCTCTTGCTGAGTATTTCTGTAACTGACAGCTCAGTGCTACCACTGGGAACACTCCATATCAGGCACCTGAGATCTCAATGAACGTCAACAGATTTCAGTGAAAGAAATACACAATAGAAAAGAGCACTGGAAATGAAGAGAATAGCCCTGCGTACATTATTATCCCTGTGTACATTACTGCCTCTGTGTATAATGCTGTCCCTGGGTACAGTATTCCTCCTGTGTACATTACTGCCTCTGTGCAGTAATATCCCTGTGTAACTATTATCCCTATGCACATTATATACTACTGCTGCCATGTATGGCAGTGCCTCTGAGTAGCTCTGTACAATCCTGCTCCCATATGCGGCAGCGCCCTTGTGTGCCTGATCCCTCCGCACACCCTCTCTGTCTCTCTGACTATTTTATGTAGACATAAAGGGAGTTTCTCCTGGTGTCCTGCCAAACAATCCTCCAGCTAAACTTGGTCATTCACTACATGGCCGTTTGTGGAACATTGCTGCACCCAAATTGGCTGCCGCCTTCACCTACAAATACAGCCATTACACTTTACAATGTGAAGCCCTTCGAGACGTTCAACAATAATGATAAGGCACTTTATCAACTGGAAGGATTATTATTGTTTAATAAATATTGATTAACAGAGCTGTGCGGAATCTTTCAGGTACTGTTCTGTCTGGGTTCTCACTTCTGTGCTGCTCAGAGCCTCGGACCCTCCCCAGCCACAAGAGCAGTGACGAAACCCTGGCTTTGGTTTGCCTAAATGTTTGGGTGGGCATCGCTCAGCTCTTCACTGTGCCCTTTCTACTGGTGGGTTGGCTCTGGAGCATAACCTGGGGAGTGATGATGGTCAACCTATCGTGTAAGTACTTTCCCCACAAAGACAATTCAGATCAAGGTTTAATTTGCATAAGTTTTAACGGGATTCCTAAATAATCCCTTTAGAGTTCCGGTCCACCTGTGCATTCTTTGCTCTGGAAGTAGAACATGTCAGAGCTGAGTGACTTCCAATTTCTGGAAAGAGTCTCCAGTTACATGGCTCGGAATCTATCTCAATTAACTTGGTCTCTTTCACGTAAGTTGAATGTCTCGAAGAGTTTCACAAACACTATAGGGATTACTGAGCAGATAGTGAAAGGTGTGAGTGGTTGATCAATCGCATAACTGGGCTTTGTGAACCGATGCAGACCCGATGGGCTGAATGGCTCCCTTCTGCACTGTAGATTTCTACGTTTCTATAATTCTTTATCAAGGAATTACAGGTATGAAATAGTGCACCTTAAGCCAATTGACAAGAGATCCTTCTTTGGGGGGAAAGTTCTGAAACTCCGACTTAATTTGTAAGCCTTAATTTCTTAAAAAGAACTGCAGTAAACCATCCTGCAAAATAAGAATAAGTTTAAGAATTTGTCTAAATTCTGCACATACTTTTAATGTTCGACAATGGTCTTAAGGCTAAGACCCTGAGCCACTTTGTGTCGCTGTGTAAAAAAAACTCACCAAGCCAGTTTGCTTTTGATAAAGCTGCTCTAAAATCATTTGCAAATCCTGTTTTTTCTTTCTCCTTGCTGCAGGTGAACGGAAGAGCCCTGCCAAACCTCAAACCACCATCGCTGGAATGAAAAGCCCAGTCGTGTTCCTGCCTTCCTGGATGAGTGACCCTGTAAAATAAGATCAATTTGAACTTTTGACCTGTTCAGGTCAGTCCTCCATCATAAATTATCCCATGTTAATACTTCACAGCTTGGACTCATTGCACTGGAACAGTACGACTGATCACAGACAAATGGACATTTTAAGCGATGGCATTTTTCTTAGGAGGAAAAGTATCTTTTAGAATATTAGGCATCTTCCATGTTGTCAAATGTTGCATTAGATATCTATAGGTGAAATATGTATCCATATTGCTTTGAATTTAATGATATTGCTATTATTTTGAATGGATAATTTTGTTTTCTAGTTTTCTTACAAATTGTTTGTCACTTATTTCTTTCTCAATGTGATGCTTTGACAAGGCAGCCAAATAGGTGACAGCCCTAATGTTACCATTAGGGAGTCATTCAGACTCATCAAACAGTGGACCTAGTACTGAATCACAAGGTAGAAATGCTCCTTAGGATATTGTTATGTATACCCATTCCAATTCTCATTCCATTCAATTGCAATAAGAACATAAAGTCCAAATCAGGAAAAGATTATTTGGTCCAATGAGCTTGCTGACTATACAGTTTATATGAAACCTACCCTGTTGTGGATTTCAATCCACCCACTCTATCTTCTGGGGAAACTCCAGAGATTTCCTAAATCCAGGTTAATCATCAATAGCAACTAGAACTTACATAGCACTCTTTACACACATTAGCATTTTGATACTCTTTGCAAAGACAGTGTAGCAGGGTAAGGAAGGAGAGAATGTTTGAAGATGTTGACTAAAAGGAGCAAGAAGAAACAATCTTATAAGAAGGAATTAAGTAGAAGCACCTAAATATTCTTCCTGGGGTGGGATAAGGAGATAAGGATTGGGACTGAGTTGGTACCAATGTGACACCAGGCAATGAAAATGAGCTGATCCTCTGGGGCAATATGTGTGGATCTTGAATCAGGTAGGTCCACAGTATTCCAAAGCAATGTTGGTGAACGACCAAGCAGCCTGGCTTGCTAACATAACATAGAGGTGCAAATCAGTCACTAGAACAGAGGTAGGGATTCTTCCCACTTGACTCTTGTTAACCCTGCAGCCAAAATTCTAATGATTTCCTGTGTGGTTCACAGCCCCTACCGACCTGCCCGTACCCTCCGTTCCTCTGGCTCCGGTCTGCTCCACATCCCCTGCCCCAACCGCCCTACTATCGGTGGTCGGGCCTTCAGCCTCTCAGCCCCCAGGCTCTGGAACTCTATCCCCCAGTGCCTTCGCCGCCTCCTCCCTTTCCTCCTTCAAAGCCGGTCCTGAGACCTTTCTCTTTGACCGTACCTTCAGCTCCCCTCTCGACTCTCTACCCCCTCCTCGCTCCCTCCCTTCCCTTCCCTCATCCTGACCATTTCCCCCCGGCTCGGGTCCTGACCCAATTGTACAGTGCCTTGGGACGTCCTCCCGACGTGAAAGGCGCTCTATAAATGGAATCTTGTTGTTGTTGTTTAATTGAGCTGAATTTAGCAACACTCAGTTCCCTGCATGCTTTTTAGGTCAACGTAATGTCACTATTCATTACTGAACTGAACCGCCACACACACTATACATCCCCATAACATAGGAATCAGTGTCTGATTGAACATTTGTCAGCCGTGCGTCAACTTTGCTCGTAGAACTCTCGCCTCTGAGGGGTTCAACGCACCACGTCTGGCCTTGCAACTCATATAGTCTGAGCTGACACAACGGTGCAATACTGGGGGGGATGCAGCATTGTTGGAGGTGCCATCCTTCAGATAAAACATTAAACTGCGGCTCCGTCTGCCTGTTCGGGTGGACATTTAAGGTATCCCATGGTACTTTTTGAAAAGAGAAAGAAGTATCTCTCGGTGGCCTGGTCAACAAATAAAATCACTTCATGGCTACTTGTGGGACATTGCTTTGCAGAAATATTGGCTGTCCTATTCACCCACAACTCCACCCCCACCCCAAAAAGAAACATACACAGAGCCACTGCACTTTACAGTATATCCTGTGAAGTGCCTTGGGACATCTTTCCAAGTAAAAGATGGTATACCAACCATCCCCATATCCTGCAGTACTACACAAATGAAATCAGGGCTATAATCTCAACACAGAGCAGCAGGAGGAACTGTAGGTAATGTATTGCACAGTGGACAGCGGGCAGTTCAAAGCTATTTTTTTAAAAAAGGAAAAATATCCTTATTAACAAGTGTGAATTGTCCATTTTAAAAAGTGGGATCAAACGAGCTTTGTTGCAATTTTCACAAGCCACGCCCATTTTTCCTAACCCTGCCACGGAATCCAGAAATCCAGCCACGACATGTTCATTCACGATGGAATTTATGTTTAAAGCTGCAACAAGTTAGCATAACACAGAGAGTGAATGCCTCTCATTGCCGATTCCCACGGAAAGCAAAGATCCATTCCATGTTTAGTCACAGCTTGTTTCACCTATTTTCGTATGCATAGATCTTTATTTAAGATAAAATAGATATTGTTGTTACAGATCCCCTGCCCTGAATTTGCTGATCCCAGTTCAGCAGCCTCAGGTGTCCTACAATTTGTACTCAAGGGCCCTCACAGGAGGGATAAAAGCAGCCATGGTTCCCTGCTGATGGTGGAAAAGCCATGGTTGAAGTACAGAATCAGATTCGGCCAAAATGCCTACCAGGGCAATAGCTTGTCAGCATTCCCTATCCACGTAAAGAATGGCTAATAGAGGGTGTTTAGCACCTACAGAATTCTACCCAGCAAGGAGGCGAGGAGACAAAATTGAGGGAGGTGGAAATTCACACTTAAACTGAGTGCCTATCAATCGTAATAACTGGCACTGTATTCCACCTCCTCGCCTCAATTGCCACAGTAGGAACTCCACACCCAGTTGCTTCTGCTGATCCAAACCAATGCGTTTGACCTGTACTCTTGCTACTAGTGCTCTTGTAGAAACTTGCCAAGGCAGAGTCAATGGGAATTGTTTTTTTTTACAGAACAGCTAAAAGCAGGACAAGCAGATTTTCATTCTCCAGTATTGCACAGACTATAATCAGCTGCAGTTTCCTGCTTAATCGTCTGTTATCCTAAATAACTGAAAACATTTTGAGCGTTGTGATATTTTAGCAGTGAGATTCAGATGCCTGACATAGGCTTTGAACAACCCTATATTCAAACTCAGAGACACACAACAATGAGAAAAAACAATATTCATTGTAAATTAATTTGCTGAAACAATCTGTGCCAAGGCACTATAATAATGGTAACCTGGTCTTTGTGAGATGAGATCAAATTTTATTTATTTGAATACATTTTTTAGTTTGCCTTAATACAAACACTTAAAATTCTTTACAAATGAGTGGCTGCAATGTCTTGGGTATTTTATTAGTTAATATTTCATTTGTTTTTGGAAATGGTCTGAATAATTTAAAACTGGTTCAACGGGCAATGGACTTCACATGGTTACATGCTTCAGCATATGGCAGCGCCAGAGACTGGAAATCTTTGGGACATAGTTACCCAAATATTGTTTCCAAATTCAGCTTTTTGTACTTCTAACATAGCTTAAGCTGGGGAGAATCAGTAAGACTCTGGTTGGTAGTTCAAATATATACATAACACCATAAGACTACATACTTACGATGCACATGTGTATATGCCATTAAGCCTGTTCCTTTGATTTCGGTATTACATTAATAATGGATTAGCCCCTTCCCAGTGCTCTGTACCTACTGCACTAATCTCTGTATCTAGACAGTGAGTCATTGTTTGCATAATTAAAAAAAAGCATACTGGTGAACATTGGGAATTAAACCATTTTCTCATATACATTGCCAAGATTGGGACTGGCTTATTTCTTACAGTGACATTTTACGTAACGTGGGCTGGCTCAACTATTATTGGCAGTTGTCATACTTTCAGTGTTAGTACTATAATAAACCATTTCTCAATTCCCTAGGCCCTCATCCGCTCCTGTATAACCTCCAATGTTGTTCCCATTAAGATACTACTCTTGTGCAGACATGCTCTAACATCCTACAATTCAAATTTTATTTTTCAATGGAGGTCTCACCAGTGATGTATAGAAGGTAATAAAAATGATTTTAATTTTAGAGTTAAATTCTGTCTGGATACAACCAATCCTGTCCCCAAGCCTTGGCTCTTGCTAACCTGCGCCTATGACTTTCCGGAATTAGGAAAGCAGGAGGCGTCCCTCCAGGGAGAGAGTGCGTATTCCATTCCAACAATGTATCTCTGAAATTTCCATGTGTAGGTGGGATACAAGGAATTCTCAGTTTGGTTTGAATACTCTTAAGCACGGTGATGGGTGTCCCTATGTATCAGACACCAAGCTGACCAAATTAAAACTAACATAAAAACACAGGGAATCAGGAAAAAGCCATTAAAGCCATCAAGCCTGTCCCTCCAATTTATTACATTTTGTCAGAAAAAAAATAAATTCTTGCATTTTATATGGTACCTTCTCATATTGTCCAAATGTCCTAAAGCATTTTTGTAGGATTTACCATAAACTATAGTGAATGTATATTTGTAAGCAAACACAGCAGAGATTGTTGGCTGGCACATCAGAATAAATTCCCTTCTCCTTTTAAATAGTGTTATGGGATCTTTAACATCCACTGAATAAGTAGATGTTACCTAGATTTCACATCGCATTTGAAGGACAATGCCTCCAACAATGAAGCAATTCCCCAGGGCTGCATTTCAGTGCCAACCTAGATTTTGAGTTCAAAGTCCTGATGCGGGTCTTAAATCTGTAACCTTCTGGCCTAGAGGTGAGAGTGTTACTAAATAAACCCTATGTCTTCTTGTCACAGGATCAATCAGCGTTTTAAATGAACCCTGCACCCTCAATCTTAACCACCCTTTATAACCAGGCTGGTCGCTAATAACACTATGGTTTCTATTCCGCAATTGCATTTTGCTCTTAACCTATGTCCTCTGATTCTACTGTCGAGGTGCATCTTAATGTAGTGATCTGGGTTTATTTGATCTAGTCCCTAGAGGAAGGGGGGAAAAAATTGCATGATCTGACTACAGCTGAAATTTATCTTAT